AACATAGATTATTGTTTTCATCACTATTTTACAAACTTCTGCATAACCGAGGTGGTCCAAAAGACATTTTTCCAGAAGTCTTGTGTTGTGTTTAATGCAAGTTGTGCATATGATTAAAAAATTGACAATTTATGTTTGCATTTAATGTATGAAATATGATTCAATAAACATGTCTGTGGTTGTTACAAAAAAATATATAACTTTTTCTACTCTGACTTTATGTGTTTTGTCTGATTTTAGATCAATTGTGTTAATACAGTATGTCAAAATGAAAACATAACTGTAAATTCAGACACGTGAGGTTGTGCTAAAAAGAATGATACCAAACAAGGCAAAGTAAATAGTTTTTAAAGGTGAAATGTAGAGGTCAAATCAAAAAGTAGGTAAAAATGGCCAATTATACCCTGGACTCCAGAGGGTTAAAAATTTTTTTAAAGTAACGCAATAGTTACTTTTCAACAACTGAGGGGAACAACTGAGATAATCCATCCACAATACAAGGTTAGTCATTAATATTCTGCTGCATGGGCTGGGCTGTAGTAATAGCATAAGGTTTTAAAAATCGAGCTTTAAAATGAATAGTGATAATAAAAACACAGAGAGGCCGACAGTGATCAGTAACTGTTTTCAGGAGCTTGTTCAGATGAAATAGAACAAGATACAAAACAATAAAACATGTTAAAAACACAACAGCTTTAATAAATAAATAGTAGTTTGGACCCGGAAGCAGGGTTCATACGTCACCGCTTAACGAATGGATTGTTTTATACAATAGTGGTTCCTATTAAACCAGAGGAAAGAATATAGGTTCAACATACCCCAAGTGATGCAAAAGGAAGGACAAAGCACCACTGGGGAAACAAAGAAAATAATCATTCTAACTAAAACTACTTTTAACTCAAAAAAAAAAAGAAGTCATCATTAACATTGACACAATAATCCTCAGTGAAAACCCATGCAGGTTTCATGCTTTAAGATAACACTCACTACTACCCCTCTAGGCCATTTAGCATAAAGATCATGTTGTGTTAATTTTTTGGATGCATCAAAAAATAATGTTGCCAGTGCTATATTGAAGTTCCAATTACCCAGCTCTGTGTGTTGAATTAAGAAATGTCCATGCAGGGAAAAAATAAAAACAAAACACTAGTCTGTTGTGCCCACACATTTCATTAGCAGTGACATTCTGATTTTTTTTCCTTATATTAGAATCAGGGGCTTACAAATCCCTGCCCAAGCACTCAGGGTGATAATCCCAAGTGTTAGCCTTGAGCCCCAGAGCATCCACACTCCAAGTGGACAGAAATCTGAAAGGTCATGAGCATTATGTTACATATCTTACATGCTTTCATAAACACAATAGGGAGATGAATTGGCTTCTTCCACAATGGTTGAATATTGACATTGTATTGATTTTGTTTTCCCGGTAAGCAAAACATATTCTGCAAGACTCCCAGGTCAATAGATACAATAGTGGTAGTGGAAATTGATTTTCTTCTGTTTTTCTGTTCTGCTGTTGTCTACTGTTAACCTAATCTAATCACCATCAGCAGCTTTTGATTATTTGCTTGGAGGTACCATCCAGTTGGTTAAATCTTCAGCTATTGCAATGTCCCAAAGTAGCTTAGCCATCATGTGAATGACAGGAAAGTAAAATTAGTTGAGTCATTTTATAATACAAAATGCCACAATAAAGCACTGTTGTGGATAGCCCTTATTACAGAGTGCAGATTTAACACAAACCATGTTAATTTAAAACATTCATATTTCTTAATTGCATGTAGACTGGCCTGTTCCTCAAAAGTAGGGCACTCAGTGCTGCCAGCAAAGGCCAGAGGAGATATATTGAGAGAACTTTCTATGTATTTTCGAGTCGCAGAGAAACCTCATTTCATATTGAATTTTATAGCAATGCACATTGCATTTTTGCTTCATGCTTTTGTGTATTTGCATATGTTCATTTACAAGGAACAAGCAAGAAAGCAGATAAAAAGAAAACAAGGGGCAAAAGGCAACTGTTTATCAGATTACAATAATTGAACTGATACATTTGTGGCTCTAATGACTAATCACTCTGATCATCTCTATCTCTGATTAATTAGCAGGAAAGTTTCATCAACCATCCATCCATCCATCCATCTTCATCCGCTTATCCGAGGTCGGGTCGCGGGGGTAGCAGCCTAAGCAAAGAGGTCCAGACCTCCCTCTCCCCAGCCACCTCCTCCAGCTTGTCCGGGGGAATACCAAGGCGTTCCCAGGCCAGCCGAGAGATATAATCTCTCCAGCGTGTCCTGGGTCTGCCCCGGGGCCTCCTCCCGGTGGGACATGCCTGGAACACCTCGCCCAGGAGGCGCCCAGGGGGCATCCTTGCCAGATGCCCGAACCACCTCAGCTGGCTCCTTTCGATGTGGAGCAGCAGCTGCTCTACTCTAAGCCCCTCCCGGATGGCCGAACTCCTCACCCTATCTCTAAGGGAGAGGCCAGCCACCCTTCGGAGGAAGCTCATTTCCGCCGCTTGTATCCGCGATCTCGTTCTTTCGGTCACTACCCACAGCTCGTGGCCATAGGTGAGGGTAGGGACGTAGATCGACCGGTAAATTGAGAGCTTCGCTTTTACACTCAGCTCCCTCTTCACCACGACTGACCGGTGCAGCGTCCGCATTACTGCAGCCGCAGCCCCAATCCGTCTGTCGATCTCCAGCTCCCTTCTCCCATCACTCGCGAACAAGACCCCGAGATACTTGAACTCCTCCACTTGGGGCAGGAACTCATCCCCGACCCGGAGTGGGCACTCCACCCTTTTCCGGCTGAGAACCATGGCCTCAGATTTGGAGGTGCTGATCCTCATTCCCGCTGCGTTACACTCGGCTGCGAACCGCTCCAGTGCGAGCTGGAGGCCCTCACCCGATGAAGCCAACAGAACCACATCATCCGCAAAAATCAGAGATGAGATTCTGAGGCCACCAAAGCGAAAGCCCTCCGCCACTTGGCTGCGCCTAGAAATCCTGTCCATAAAAATTATGAACAGAACCGGTCTCCGGTTTCATCAACCATTATAATTTAAATTCCAATGACTTGGTGATCCCATAACCTTTTCTTCATTAGGCCTAAATTTCGGTTACTATGATTCTTTGTACTATTGATTTTTTTTTTACACCAAAGATCAATTCAGATCAACAAACAGAAAAACAACAACAAAGAAACAAAAAACAGAATGATGGGAAGAGAAAAACATGCATCTGAAACAAACATGGTGGAGGTAATGTTATTGCATTGGTATGTCGAATGCGGTCACAAGTGTGTGACTGTTAATAGATATGTCAGGGTGAACTGAAGTGCACAGGGCTATACTCTGCTTAGATTCAGCCAAATGCTCCAAAACTATGTGGACAGAAATTCACAGTTAAAGAAATAATGAGCCAAAGTACACTACAAAAGCAACCAATGGGTTTGTGAAGGCAAAGAGATGGGATATCCTTCAATGGCCAATTCAGTCACATTATCTCCACCCAACAGATTGTGCTTTTCAATTTCTGCCTTCAGTTTTTCCTTCAGTAAGCACCACAAACAAGCAGCAAGTAACTGCTGCTGCAATAACGACCTAACAGATAATGCGAAAGTAAGAAATGTAGCACATGCTGATGTTACATGGGTTTGCAGCCACTGCCAGCAAACAATCTTCATCCAAGGATTAAAAACAATGCTTATGTTTTAAATTATGTTAGTTTGTCCAATTCTTTTTGTACCTCTGAAATTGCAGGAAAATAGCTGTAAAGCCACTTTAATTAAAATTGAACATCTGCACTTAAATCATGGACTTAAAATAGTGCATGAAAGCTAAATTGCAAAAATTGTGTCATTGTCCAAATACATAAGGACCTAGATAACGGTACTATCCTTTCATCAGCTGGAACATTTTCTCAACTGCTATTCCAATTCAGGGTCACTGAGGAGCTGAAGTCTATCCCACCTGAAATTTGGGGTACATCCTGAACATGTCACAGGACTCAGAGCAAAATTAAACATTATTATTTGTGAGAAGAGTAACAGATTTGTGCCATCTTTATCTGCTGCAAGAGCATTCAAACCTGTGACAACAAGTACATTTTTTTTCCAACTGAACTAGCTGATAATTGAAGTGACTTGACTTAACCTCCTAGGACCTGGCAGCCACATATGTGGACATCACATTTTGGGTTATTTAGACCAAAATACTCAATTGTGCTCAACAGGGGTCTGATATCCACTTACGAGGACATTATACTGCTACTGTTCTATCAAAATTTCAAATGAATATCCTCATATGTGGCCCTCATTTTTCTTAGAAACAGAAATCAGGTAAAAAAAAAAAAAACTGGTTATTCTTTGTTTTTACATTCACTGGGTCCCAATATGCCCAAATATCAAAGATAAATTTAAAATGCATGCCGTGGAAGAGTTCGGGTCTTAGGAGGTTAAAGGCTTTGCTAATGAAAAATAGGACATTACCATCCTTGCATTAGCAAAGTTTCTTGTACATTCTGTATGTTCTAGTTGAGTGACTCACACTCACTTGATGTTTGCAGACCTCTAAACAAACACCAAATAAAAGCAGAGTTTTGGGAGTGACAGATTGCTAACCCTCTTTTGAGGATCAGTACTAACAAGTGACCCACTAAACCACAGACACTTGGAACTGCTAGAGTTCAGACTGGGCCACATCCCACATTATGTACTAATGCAGTCTCCATTCTCAGATGCTTTTGCTTGTTAAGAGAACTATCAGAGTGAACAATAATTCCTAATAGCAGAAACGTGTATGGGAAATGGGATCAAAGTACAGCACACATATAAAACATTATAACTGCGCAGTATGCTGTCACACCAACCCAAATGTTACCAAATTTGAGTCGTTTTATGTAAAAGCTTTGCCACATCTCACTGATATGTCACCTCAGACAGAGAATTTTAAAAAGCCCCACTCACGATGTTGGAAACAAAGTAAAACACAAGAAGTAGCTCAGCAGGTTTAAAATGTGATATTACTGTTTGCGCCCGTCTGTCCCCACAGTCTCTGAATGCCACACGCGTCGTTTGCAGATAATAAGCGGCGTGATTACTTGTGGGCTCGAGTGTCCACACCTCTTTTCATCTCACATACACCCGTGTAATGAAGCAGCGTGTTCTCCTCCTCTCGCTGCTGCCCACCCCGCACCTGTCCGCGCTGTGCGGCAGCCACGAGGGCTGCTCTTCCTTTTATGGTCTGGCTTCCTTTGTGGACACGTTAGTTGGATGAGGAGAGCAGAGCATAGCGCGGTGGTCCATATTCCCCGCATCTTCCAGTTGCGCTCCTGCGCTTTACGCAGAGTCCGCGGCTCCTCTGGAACACTCAGCTTTCTCTTTCTAAACACCGAGATGAACATGAGATGATTGAGCTCGTGGGCCGTGCGCACTGATGCTTCTCATTTTGCCGTTTCCTCGCGGTTTTTTCCTCTCCTGTCTGCATCCTTCGCCGACCAATCTGTGGAATGGTCTGCGTTTTCTCCCCTGGGTTGTTTCCACTTCAGCATGGGAACTGCGGTGTCCAAAAGGAAGAATCTGAGGAGTGATGCGATTTCTTCCGTGGCCGCAAAAGTTAGGTGAGTGCGCCCGGGGGAGCAGGGGATGTGAAGCGGAGGTCTGAGCGCTCTGAAGCCGACGGAGCACAGAGGAGAAGACTCTGGCAGCCGTAGAAGTGATAGTTTGCAGATGACTGCACATTTCCCTAAACTAGTTTAAAGGGATAACGTTCACATGAGAATAATTACTGTAATTTTATATATTTATAATATATTAATGGATACACATAAATTAGGATATATTTCATGGTGTAAAAACAGCTCCTCCACTCTCTCAGGGCTGTTTTAGAGCTTTTAATTTAGCTGCTTTAATTTTGCTTTTCTTCTTCTTCTTCTTCTTCTTCTTATTCTTCTTCTTATTATTATTATTATTATTATTATTATTATTGTTATTAATGATATATATATATATATATATATATATATATATATATATATATATATATATATATATATATATATATATATATTTACTTTTTATGTCTCTTTTAAGTAAGTGTGACAGAATGAATCAATCTCTTCTTGTTTGTATTGGTTAGTGTACTTGTATTTCTACTGCCTTGCATAAGGTTCTTTGCTTTTTGATTCATGCGTGCAACCTTATGATTAGCAGAAGTAGTGAATCCAAAGAATCAAATCAGGGTTGTTGTTTTTTTCAGGGTTTTTTTTATCATTATTATTATATATGTTTATTTTTATGCTTTTACGTTTGCTGTCTGATGTAAGCCAAACTTTAATTTAAGGACATTTGTGTTATTTTAATTGTCCTGAAGCCCGTTGACAGATTGATGACCTGTCCAGGGTGTACTCTGATATATCCTCTAATTCTGACTCTAACACAGGTCATTAACACACTGGCATTATACGATACACACACACAGTATAGCTGTGACATGTGAAAAGCTTTATTTATCCCCTTAACATCTACTAGCTTACTGGGGACCTATTAATGGAGGTTTGGAAAGTGGAAATCTCTCTGTGACTCACCACATTTCAGTTCACCAACTTAAAATGGTTTAAGGGTCAACAGTTGCAGCAAGTTACTCAGGGGCCCCTAAACTGTGTGTTGCACACAAGAAAAAGCACAGAAATCAAACCCCAAATGGGTCTATTAAAAAATGCTGACCTCAGATCAAAGGTGGGTAGGCTTAGGTGCATATACCAAGCATTTGGGTTTAGATTGGCCAGGCCCTCTGAGATCTAAGTCATCGTCAGCAAAACTCCCTAACCATAACTGTAACCCTGTGATTGGAATATGTCATTTGTGGTTTTATTATATTATTTCAAAGTCTTGGCAAACAGATAACAAAAAAATAAAAAATAAAATAAAATAATTATTATAATCAATACACATCAAAATCTACTCATTATATAGACTGTAGGGTTATTGGGAGGATTAGCACCTGTGACTTAGAGCACCATGTTAGAGTTACAGTTTGACCCTCTTTAGGGTGAAACAAATTCACCTTTTGTCATTTTTTCATGTATAATTTTTGTACAAATGAGAATACTATTGAAATGTACGTGTAAGTATTACTTCAGGATTTTGCTTATGTTGTGGTAGATGGAGTGAGCACTTTTTTTCTTAAGGACCCGCTTGGTTCATTTCACTCAGCTTGTGAGTAATTCTGATGACTTTTAGCTTTGAGTCATAACATTAAGGTCACGTCATGGGTGTCAGATCAGTGCGTTCTCAGTCCGAAGGACACAGGATGACCAGGCCTTATGGTAGGAGATTTTGTTGGTGTCACCCACTGATTAATTTCAGACACCACGGTCGAATCAAGCACTTCGTCTCTCAGTGACCTATGTGTGTATGTGCTTTTCTTCTTTAAGTGATCGCATGGTTGAACTGAAGCAAAGGCAAACTGTTTTCTTTCCATCCACTTCTAAAGTCACCTCCATGCTCACTTTTGCACACATTGTCCAATTCTGTTTGTCCTCGTCTTCCTTTTTTCTATTTGTATGTTTATCTCCTTCCTCCTTCCTTCCTTGCTGCCTCACTCACTTTTTCACACCTCACGCTTTAACTCTTCATAAATCATGCTGATCGCAGCCGGTAGCTCAAGACCGTGTATGCAGACCACAGCCAAGGCTTGAACAGTATACGATATACCTCCTCTCTGTCAGTGGTTGTGAGCAGCACTCCAGTTGATGGGGAGTTTAATGGCACTCTGAGAACAATAGCACTTCCCCCTGAATCCCAACTGAGCCGGATTAGTAATGTCTCCAGTCTGCCAGATGATCTGAGTTTATCTGTTGTGCAGTGAATGAGCAGGGCAAAGCCATTTCACCTTTTCTACTTCCTTATCTTTGTCTTTCTGTGACTGTGAATAGCAAAAGCAAGGGGATTGTTCTAGAAGAATGTCTAATAGGCCCCTCTTCTTCTCTCTGACCTTAAAACATCTGTCTCTGTGTAATGTCACTCTGTCTCCTATTTCACTGTTCTGAGTAATACAGGCAAGGTTGAGTAGGAACGCACTGATCGGACCCGGTAAGAATAAATTAATAGAACAGTTTTTAACTTTGTCATCTGAAACTGACATTCACATCGCCTGTTTTCACAGTGATTCTTATTAATCACCAAATGGAACTAGAATAGAGTGGATGGCTAAAAGCTTGGTGGTTTATGAGCTGCTTTTCATCCAATGAAGAGGGATGAAATCTAATTCTGAAATTAGATAAACTGTGAACAAAGATCCATGATTCATGTTCAAAGTGTGGGGCCTTAAGGTTAAAAGAAAATCCACATCGACTAAATTAATCTCACTTGTTAATTGTTTTAAAGCATAAATTATACACTAACATTTTCAATCATTTACATTCATATACATTCATTCAGATCAAAGTGTGATGTCATTAACGTTGAATCACTTCAAAGAAGAAGATTCAACAGAAGTCAGCTGATCTGAAGTCAGCAAGCTCCCTGTCCTGAGAAATCTGGGCTTATCATTTTGTTTGTTTTCCTGTCCTGTCGTTTGCTCACTCTTGGTTGGAATGAATCAGAACCGCCAAACAGGTTGACGAGCGCATGTGTGCTGTTTACTGACAACACCTTGCCGGATTTTTGGGGATATTCCTGATGATATTCAGTTTGGAGGATCTCAGCGGGACGTTGTTTTATGGTTTATGAGGATCAGTCCTCCTGTTGTCAGTATTCATGACAGCACTGAATGTTGTCATTAACCAGAAATTAAACCATGGAACTAATTATTTCCAGTACATGCAGCCATGTTCCAGAATGCATCATACTTGTTTTGGCTGCATGTGTGGCCGCTTCCTGGCAGAACTGGGCTCATTAAGAAATAGGGAAGAAGAGTTTCCTTGCATAGAAATGCAGGAAAGAGAAAACAGACATGCATTTGAAAATTGGCTGATTCCGAGTGGACAGCCTCTTATGCATTTTAGTTATCTCTTGCATTGTAATGCTGGTGTCTCTGCACTGGCTCTTTTTTAATATGCTCAACAGATGTGCAGAAAAAGAAAGGTTAAAAAAGTCAATGAAAGTCTTCTAGGCTTTAGGCTTGCTGTCTTTTACTGTGCATTTAATTGTGTGTTTTAATGACCACTTTTTAAGCAAAGTTAGAGGAAAATTAGTTGTCCTTTATGCACCCTATGCCTGAAGCACTTTAGTAATAGGCCAAACTGTCTCCCTGCCCTGTTTATGACAAATCTTTGTGGAGGAGTACGCCAAAACCGACCAGTCTGCTTTGATCAGCCACTTGATAGGAAAGATTACAAGGGCTTTAAAGCTAATGTTGTCTTTAATATTTCAAGAATGTCTGAGTCACTACTGAAAGGAATTGCACAGCACAACACTTTTCAGGCCTTAATAGTTTCCACTTTGGTGAAAATGTGATTTCATGGGCTCTTTCCCACAAGACTCTGTGACCAGCAGCCACCCTGTACTTATTGCTGCACAAATTCGCTCTAGCCACGGTCCAGTGTGGACGTTAGCTATAAAACATCTGGGCACCTCTGTAAAGCATAAACCTCTCACTGGAGGAAAACTATATATGAAACTTCCAAGGTCAAATATAACAGAGTTTTTAAACCAACAGTGTTAATAGAGTCTGTTTAGAATACTTAATATTGGTGTGGTGTGTTTGGGTGTATTACACAGCTCATCTTTAGATTTGAAATCATATGCAGAGAGGTGAGTGTTTCAGGTTATAGTGGATGTGTAAATGTAGCAACACAGACTCACCTTTTCAGGAGAGTCCACATATTTTGAAAGCTGTTCACAGCTTTGGGAAGTCTTGTTTGAAAAGCTTCATTTGAAATTGTTCGTCATCATAACGCACACTAGGTCCCAGGCACCCTGTTTAGGATTAGTGTTACTCGTCTGGCTTGGGTAATGTTTTGTTACCTCCACCAACGAGGTTATTCTTTCTGTCTGTAAATATGATAGGTTTAAAAGCTTTAAATAAATCTTGATAAAATATTGTAGTGTGTGGAGGGGGGTTCATGTTAATAATCCATTCAAATTTGGCTTACACCCACCACAGTCTTAAACTGCAACTCGAAGATTTATTGGTCGAAAATTGACAAAAAGCCTATAACTATTCTTACGACTGTGGCGTGTATTGTCGACATAGGTATAAAGATTTTAAATATCATGTTAGGGCTGCTCAATTAATCGAATTTTAATCACGATTACGATCTGGGCTTTCAACGATCATTAAAAATGACTGAGCCGATTATTAGCCCCTCCCTCATTTATCCGCGACACCTTAAAGGCCGGTCCGTGAAAATATTGTCGGGCATAAACCGGTCCGTGGCGCAAAAAAGGTTGGAGACCGCTGATTAAGAGGACCCGAGGGAAGCTCGGAAAGCTAAGCAGAAGTTATTTGGAGAGTGACTGCCGTTGGTTGAAAAGAGAGTTTAAAAAAAAACTTCAGTGGTGTTGCACACTATTTTATATTATTTTTTAAAAGTCATTGTTAACCCTTTAAAGCCGGTCAGAGCAGCACGCTCCGTTTTGCGTAACTATTGTTAAATCCCTGTAGAACCTGAACCGT